TCTCTCTCTCTCTCTCTCTCTCTCTCTCTCTCTCTCTCTGCCTTATGGAGATCGCCTGCATACCAGAGCGGCGGCAGCTACGACAATTCATTCTTTTCTGGTGTCCAACCGTCCAAACTGAAGCGGAGAGGTTGCGCATGGCAAAAAGCCTAACCTATAATGTTTAACGTCATCCATGTTCTACTTGGTCTGTCCAAGGAAAACGATCAGTGGGACGTCTTCCTTGATCTGCCATTTACTTCAGGCGTTACCTCTTACCAGTGGTTGGATCTAACTCGTCGGAGAGAGCTGAAAACCACACGCTCACACACATATAAAATGCAGCTCTATGGCTGCGCCCATACTTTGCGGCAGTCCACCAGCGTTTCGAGCGTCCGTTCGAGCCAACGACTAGGAGAATACAAGTGTCGATCTAGCGAACGGCAGCTCCACCAGCGTCTACAAGCCTCCAGCAGCGATTAGGAAACTATACATATCACCAAGCGAAGTCATCGTCCACCGCAGTCCAGGAGTGGAGAGCATGGGGAAGTAGGAGGGCAGCAGACTGGTATTGAGTATGGGGAAGTAGGGTTAGGCAGACGGATGAATAGCGTCGTGAAATTCTGGTGTGGGCAACCGCACGGTCCTACTTCACAGAGAAGGTACATCAGTTTGCATAATTCTGTGCTTTAGCAGTTGTACGGTGCAATCACACACGCCGCAGTTTTGCGAATCCGATTGTCTGCTCCCTCCTAATTCTCCATACTCTACCAACCATCTGCTTCCCCCTACTTCCCCATACTTTCCATTCCTGGACGTTGGTAGACGCTGGCGGCCGCTGGTAGTCGCTGCCGCAAACGGTGATCACAGCCTATCCTGTTGAGCTTCCCTGCAGCATCCATCTGTAAAGGCGCCAACCACTTGTTTTTGTTCTTTCCTTGAGGGAGTGTGGATCCGCATACTTGAATCAACCACTCCACTAGTCCTTAGGCAAGTCGGAGGAGGAAGCGCTTCGGCGGATGTCATATCAAATCCAGCTTGCATGTTGTGCAGCTAGTCAGACAGCAGCAAAAAAAGTTGCAATGGCAATACTCGGAGGTGATGGCTCTAAGGCCGCGTTCAGACTTTGCGACGGCAGCGCTTCGGTCGCGCGTTCGACGCGATCGATGCGCATGCTTTCGACTGCATCGATCGCGTCGAACGCGCGACCGAAGCGCTGCCGTCGCGAAGTCTGAACGCTGTCTAACATGATAGCGTCCCAATTTAGTGAGGTTATGAGCAACGTCCAGGTTTCTGAGGTTGAAACGCGCTCGTCCTCTGCATCCGCGCGTGCTTGCTTAGAAATCCTCAGCAGATAAAAATTACCTCTTTTTTGTAGGTATGGCAAATGGCTGACAACATCTACAACGAGGGCGAGGAAGAAACGCCTGCTGATCAACTGGAACGCTAATTTTTTGAGCTTTCTGCAATTTTTCCAGTCCAATAATGTCAATATTCCGGTCTGTTTTAGTTCATTCTTGATTACCTGGTATGTCATCTTTGAAAATATACGGCTACTTTTGATTGCATCTCATTTTTTTTCGTGAACGTTAGTAGTTATCACTTTTTTCCTCTGTAGTTTCATTGGTGACGTAGGAAACTGCATAAACTTTCTTCATCGTACAGTGATGCGACTTACAGTTGTTAAACACTTTGTATAGTTTCAAGAACACACTGACATAGTTTGCCACTTTCTAGTTATATATTATGCATGCTCTAGTGAAGCTCACGCTGGGACACGCGTTCTTTTTTAGTGTTTAGAGCTTTGCTGACTGAATATCTATTACAACGCCGTCAGCACACAGATCAACTTCTAAGTGCGATTCCTAAACGGTGTTTGAACTAACTGCTCGCTGGTTCATGGTTTTTTGTGTTAGACATGTGCCCGAAGCTTTCCCGGCTATATACTCATTCTTATGGGCTGTGGGATGAGGGGCGTGTCAGGCGGGATTGGTTTAGCGCGGCGCCGAGCCAGTTCATCCACCACTTGTTGGAGCGAGTGAGCGAGAACAGTTGGTGGAAAACGCCTGATAAACTGTAGTGACATACAGATTGTGTCGATCGCCTCAAGAAACGGTGCCGCTAGCGCCAGACTTTATTCAAGAACCGCTAATTGCTCCAACATTGCATCCAGGAGGGCATGTGGCGTGAGGGCGAGGATGCACAGCGATGCGATCAACATAGGATGGGTGCAAAAGCGACGTCACTCACAAGTTAGATGAGGGTGCTGAACGATTAAAAAACCGTAGATATCAAGAAATGCCCATCCAGCAAAACTCTTAGTTTCGGATTCCACAATGAACACTATGGACGTCAGGGTGCAGCAGCCTTACTTCGCAAAGGCGGTGACAGCCTTGCCTCCTTGTATTGTAAGAGCTTGTCTTATGGTGCAACAACGTATGTCTGGATTGTCCCAGTCTTCGGAATCGATAGCCTGCGGGGATAATCATGCCGGAATTAGAGTGTGTTCATACTTTGCTTCAGCGTTTTGAGCGATAACGGCCCTTTGAGCCAGTGGAAAAGTACAGGTATCGATCTAGCGTTTTGAGTGTGTGCCGATGTTTTAGCGATTCGCGGTTAGTTTTGAGCTTTTCGCAGGCAGTCGCTGAAAACGCAGGCGTCGTTTAAATGTTGGATCAATATCTATACTTTTCTAGTCGCCTAAAACGCTGTCATACACTCAAACACTGACGCGAAGTATGAACGCAGCATAAGAGCAGCTGTAATAATGGAGAACTATTAGGTTGTTCGGAAAGAAATGCGCGTTTGAGTTTAAAAAATTTTTATTATAAACGAAATTAAACAAGATTAATTCAAAAGATAATCTCCATTACTATCAATGACTTGTTGCCAACGTTTATGCAAAGAATGGATTCCTCTTTCGAAGAACTCGGCCGGCTGCGACTCAAAGTAGTTGGACTTCTTCGCGGTTTGTGAACTTTCTCTCCAGGGAGTGCTGCATCGACCGGAACAGATGGTAATCGGATGGTGCCAGGTCTGGGCTGTATGGCGGATGAGGCAGGACTTCCCAGCCCAATTCCTCAATTTTTTCCAAAGTGATTTTCGCGACATGTGGCGTACCACATGCACTCGCACACTTGACGTACCACATGCAAGCTCGCATTCGAAATTTTTGGTCACGCATTTCCCTTTTTTCCTTAAAAAACAAAGTAGACATAGACAAAAATATATCAAAAGATGCACAATAAAAATCTCTTTCTAATAGACAAAACTGTTTAAAAAAAATCTTCTATAGTAGGAGAGAAATAAATGGACAAATTCAACGCGCATTTCTTTCCGAACAACCTAATATTAGAACCTGTGCAGCTTTCCTTCCACAGCCTTG